TAGATATCCCTCAGGACCACCATGTTGGATATCTTGTCCTGTTTGGCTGTCCAGTAAAAAAAAGCACTCTTGATTCTATCTCCATTGGTGTGGAACCCCTACAGCTTTCTGAATATCTGGATTTCCTTCAAGACCTCTATGTTGGAGGTCTTAGCCTATTGGTTATTAATTAAAATACCACAGTGGCGTCTGTCATCATTGGCGTGCCTCCCTTACTGCTCTTTAACTGCTAATTACTCTACAGATCTGGAGTACCCTCAGGACCGTCGCATTAGATGTCTTTTTCATATTCATTTATCCAATAAAAAACACTGGACTACCACCATTGGTGTGATTCCCTTACTGCAGTCTACATATCTGGATTGTACTCGGGACCCCTATGTTGAATCTCTTATCCTGTTGACTATCCATTAAAAAAAAAAAAAAAACACTGTGGATTCTGTCTTCATTGGTGTGGCTCCCCTTCTGCTTCTTACATATCTGGATTTCCTTCAGGTCCCCCATGTTGGATATATCTTCCTATTGATAATCCAATAAAATAGCACACTGTCACCTTTGGTGTGCCCCCATTACTGCTTTCTACAGATCTGGAGTTCCCTCAGGACCACCGCATTGGATATCTTTTTCATATTGGTTACATATTGGACTCTACCACCATTGGTGTGATTCTCTTACTGCTTTCTACATTCCTGGGTTGTACTCGGGACCCCTGTGTTGGATCTCTTATCCAGTTGATTATCCCAAAAAAATCTCTGTGGCTGTGGTCTCTCACCATTGGTGTGGTGACCTTACTCCTTTTAACATAGACAAATTTCTCTCAGAACCACCATGTTGAATGTCTTCTCCTTTTGATTACCCAATAAAATACCAACATGAACTCTATCACCATTGGTATGGCACTCTTTTGCTGCTTCTACATATCTGGATTCCCCTCAGGAGCCCTTCCTTCATTTGGGGTATTGGTATAAGGAAAGCATCCTCACTGAAGCAATTCAACTTAATTAACCCATTTTAAGCTGGTGGGAGCCAGCACTTTAACCCTTTCGCTGCCAGTGGCCCAAGATGTACATTGGCAGCAGTGGGAGCTTTTACACCCACTTCTTGCTGCTATGTGTGCATGCGCAGACACAGCTTAGGTCTTTGCCAGTGTCAGGGAGCGAGGAGCCAGACACACAAGGAGGTGCAATTAAAGGTAGGTTTATTATACAAGACAGAGTCTATGCAAGTACAACAGCAACAGCGGGTGACTTGGTAGAACAGTAGCCAGGAAGGATGGTCGCCAGAGCCGGGGTCAGAAGCCAGGAAGGATGATCCCCAAACCCGGGGTCAGAACCCAGGAAGGGTGATCGCCAGAGCCGGGTCAGAAGCCAGGAAGGATGGTCGCCAGAGCCGGGGTCAGAAGCCAGGAAGGATTGTCGCCAGAGCCGGGGTCAGAAGCCAGGAAGGATGGTCGCCAGAGCCGGGGTCAGAAGCCAGGAAGGATGATCGCCAGAGCCGGGGTCAGAAGCCAGGAGGGATGGTCGCCAGAGCCGGGGTCAGAAGCCAGGAAGGATGGTCGCCAGAGCCGGGGTCAGAACCCAGGAAGGTTGGTCGCCAGAGCCGGGGTCAGAAGCCAGGAAGGTTGGTCGCCAGAGCCGGGGTCAGAAGCCAGGAAGGATGGTCGCCAGAGCCGGGGTCAGAAGCCAGGAAGGATGGTCGCCAGAGCCGGGGTCAGAAGCCAGGAGGGATGGTCGCCAGAGCCGGGGTCAGAAGCCTGGAGGGATGGTCGCCAGAGCCGGGGTCAGAAGCCTGGAGGGATGGTCACCAGAGCCGTGGTCAGAAGCCAGGAGGGATGGTCGCCAGAGCCAGGGTCAGAAGTCAGGAAGGAGTCTTGCCAAAGCCGAGTCTGTATCCAGGAGAGCAATGAGAAACTAAACAGGAGCTTGCTGCTGTGCAACAGATAGGACACGAATACAATGGACAGCTACAAACAGCAGACTTATATGTGATAAGCCGCCACCTCCTGGGGGAGGAGCCGCAGAGGGCTGAAAGCATAAAGGATCCCACAATGCTTTGCAGACACCTAAGATGGATGCCAGAACATGGAGCAGCACAAGCCCTGAGGAAAGGTAGGACTTGACAGCCAGTAATATAGTGGAGACCCCATGGCGTGTCTGCACATGCAAATCTCCTGAACTGCCTCCTCTGATATCTACCTCACACATTCCAGAAGGCAGTTTGCCAGATCTTCTGCATGCTCAGACACCCCATGTTACTGGCAAAAACCCAAGCCATGTCTGTGCATGCTTAGGACCAATTATGTCATCCTCACCTGGGCAAGCATTGCAGATATAAAGTGAAGACAATAAAGCAAAAACAAGTAATTCCCCACCTTTTATTTTTTAATTATTAAATAGTGGAGGGGTTGAGGGAAGGAGACCAGAAAGATGATCTTAAGGAGTCATCCCCCGCCAGCCAGTAAGGCCAGGTAGAACATGCCGGCAAGGAGAGGTAAGTACTGCAGAATGTAGTCGGCTGGTATAAGAGATGATCATCAACTAATGAACAACCTTCAGCGCTCACACACAAGATGGAAATAATAATTATAAATTATAGAATAAATATCTCAAAATATGAACAAAGTTAAATAAAATAACAGGAATAAAAGAAATAAAACCAGTGGATAGATGGATGGATGGGGGGCAACTTTCCAGGTGGAATCTGTGTGTTCAGAATGTAGCAAACAGCATGTCCATCCAATGAGTGTGCAGGTAAAAGGACCATACAGGCTTTGGAGAACACGAGCGGATCGGCAGCTCCTCGTCAAGGACAGGGGGATCCGACAGAGGTATCCAAAAGAACGACAAGCAGGGCGCCATGTCAGTGTAGAGAAGAACAATAGTACTTTATTACAAAGAAAACTCACATCTTGAAATCCCTCAGCGAGTGCGGCAGATGAGACACCGGAGCCAGGGACATCAAAGGAGCAGATCCGATGAAATATGCATGGGGCGGGAGGGGACCCGCAACAATGGTTGAACGGCGTCTCTGAATGCCTTCCTGATGGTAGTAGGGAGAAGTGACAGGTGCTGTGAATGGAATGGAGGGCGGACTGCAACGTGTTTCAGAAGCTCCGCCTCCTTTGTCAAGCAAACTTGTACAATACCGCCTAGTGCCTCTTATCCATGGACTCCAATTTGGGGTAAATGTGGCAGGAGGTGTCACGGTCTGGGTCAGGTTCAGAGACCAGTTGCTATAGCAGTGTAAGGCTTACCTGAAACCAGCAGGATAGGTACACCAGCAGGTCACCCTCGGAAAGGACGCAGGCTCACCTGAGGTGCGGGGTCTAAGCACCAACCAGTTTTCACCAGAGCTCCTAATGGTGGAGATGGATTTGGCTGCGTGTTGGTACCAGGTCACAGATCTCAGGATCACCCCACCAGGGAATGAGCAGGCTGGAAGCCAATAGCAGATCGAACAAGTTAGGGATCAAGCAGAAGCGGGGTTAGTCAACAAGCCAAGGGTCGGTCACAAACGGTAGTAGATGAGGATGAGGCAGAATGGTAGTCCAGGAACAAGCCAAGGGTCAGTCACAAATGGTGGTAGATGAGGATGAGGCAGAATGGTAGTCCAGGAACAAGCCAAGGGTCGGTCACAAATGGTGGTAGATGAGGATGAGGCAGAATGGTAGTCCAGGAACAAGCCAAGGGTCGGTCACAAATGGTGGTAGATGAGGATGAGGCAGAATGGTAGTCCAGGAACAAGCCAAGGGTCGGTCACAAATGGTAGTAGATGAGGATGAGGCAGAATTGTAGTCCAGGAACAAGCCAAGGGTCGGTCACAAATGGTAGTAGATGAGGATGAGGCAGAATGGTAGTCCAGGAACAAGCCAAAGGTCGGTAGCGAAGGTATAGACAGCAGCAGGAGAGACAAGCGGGATATTGGCTGGTGAAGATACAATAATCTGGCAAGGAGGAAATGCAGAGACATGGCTTTTATCAGGAAGTTCATGGGAGGAGCAAGGGGTTCAAGATAAACAAGGTCAAGGTAGGATCATCCAAACATTTGTCAAGGGAGCTGTCCAGCATTCCAGGTGGCTCAGCAAGAAGAAACATTGCCTCTCACCGCAGAAGGCCCAGGTTCGGGCCCAGGCTCTGACAGGAGGGCTGTACACCACTATAAGGTGCGTTAGCATTGCCGGGCATTAAAAGGTCAAATTTGGGTTTCCACCGCCACTTGGAATTTGACTTTAAACAGATGGAGGTAAGAGAGCAAGGGGAGGCATCCTCTATTATTCATCCTTTTGAAGAGCGAGGGCCACTGTAGTGATCTGGTGACCAGTCACTGGCCACATTGAAATAAAATGGTTCGAAATTTACATTTTTTTTTCAATTTTGAAAATTATTACGAACATTTTTCCTTCTGCAGCTTCTGAGGAGAAACGGGCTTTCAGCAGATGCAGGAGGAATCGGTTGCCATGATAGGGAAGCCGCACGGGCCCCCTGGAGCATGGGGTGTGGCCCTTGACGCTACACCAGTGGTTAAGGGGGGATGTAAAAACATGTCTCTACTATGGGGTTTCATCACCCGCCCTAAATGTAAATGAGCCCTAACTGTCCTGAGCTCCCCATAAGGCTGCTTTCACACTGATGCACTGTGGTTTACCCACACCGGGGGTGCAGCAAAGTGCATCTGCTGTTTTCCGCGGGTTGCCATCGACTTCTATTATATCTTGCGGGTGTGGTTCACTTTCAGAAAGCTCACCACACCCACAGGATATATTAGAGGTGCTCTTCCCTGATTGGAGGTCGAGGGCCACATCAGAGGGCTCCAAGGGCCACAGGTTGAGCACCCCTGCTCTATTATATACAGAGTTTGCAGGATATCTAATTGAAGTGTATTCATGTCTGTGTGCAGAAGCCATTCATACAGTATATCAATAACCGAATGTTGTACAGATAATAAATGTCTGTTGTAGACGAGGGACTCCTCTTATGTCATTTCTGCGTTGTCTCTCCTAG